CTGGGAGGTGAAAACTCCCCCCTGTATGTGGGGAAGTCATGCACGCATGCACGAGGGGAGATGCACTGCATTGTGGGTGTGGGCACGTGTGCACGCACGATAGAATGTGCACACACAATTTTGGCACGCTTTTACAAAAAGGTTTGCCATCACTATTCTAATATATGGCAACTAAAGCACTTATAAATTTACCTTCATAATCCATGGCTAAGTTGGTCATATAGAAAGAATAGAGTCATAAACTGGACATTAAGCAGAAAAGAACAATAGCTTGTTAACAAGGATGTTTTCCTCTCTTCCTCATCCTTTTCTCAGGAACTACATACCCCACAGCATATAAAAGTTATTCCTTCAACTAAACCTTGAATATTATGTTGCTGCCTTATTTTTCCCCCATCCCCTTTTCTTTTTCTCAAAATATAGGACTATGCATTTCCTCACTCATGATTTATAGTGTCCTTTAGTATCACACAGCCATTGTTGTGACTATAAATCTTGTCTTAATTACTGTTATATCAAGCCAGCGATAGTTGGATGATTCCCTAAGATGCTAAAAATCCCTGGGGAGAATTTTAATACTGATCTAACTTATTAATACCCCTTCTATTTGTAACTAGTTTTCTCTAAGATCCATTACAATTCTTTTAAATTATGTACAAATATTTATTATAAATAAATAATCAACACTTGCAAATGCCAACAATTATGTGAACTGTGAAACAGACTTATGAGCCATATACACTAAGATGCTACTCTTCCTTTTTAATAAGGTATAAGTAGCTACTCTATAAGAATAAATCTATGGTAGATGCATATTCAATTGTAGCTATGTCAAACAGGAAAGAAGGATGATCCAAAATAAGTTGGAAAAACAGAAAAACAGAATTCTGGTGGTCTATTAAATAACCTTTTGGAGACATTCCCAACCTTACTTTATTTTCCTGTTGTAGATAAGATACATCTGAAGCTCAACAGTCATAAAACAAGAAATAAATATTTGAACATGAATAAGTTTGAGGTTATAGCCAAGTTCCGTGACTAGTAATCAGAAATTGTTTGTTTTACACTAGAGATAAACAATCCACAACTCATGGATAACATGAAGCTCCTCAGTCCCCATATGGTCCCTTTAATTCTTTAAAATCATACTGGTGAGATTTGGTACATGAGATCTGTATCTGTTTATAGTTGTTCCAGTTGTTTTTTGTTCCTTTGAGTCAGTACTGATTCCTGGCAATTGCTTGAACAGGTTCCTGCTGTTTTCATAGCAAATTTCAGAAATGTTTTTGCCATTGCTAGAACTGAGAGAGAATAACTAGGCCATGGGCAACAACCTGGCTTTGTTTTGTGCCTAAGGAAGGACTAGAACTCACAAATCTCCTCATTTCTTGCCTGATGCTGTAACTGTCATACCAAACTAGCTCTCAATAATGTTTATGCAGCATGCCATAATTTGCTGTTTCTGGAAAACACGTAGCTAATATTGTCAGAACTACAGTATACAGACAGAATCACAACAGTTTAAGTAGCATAACACTGAAATAATTTAAATCGCTACAGTAATATTTACAATTTGTTAACTCATCAAAACTGCCTACTTTTTAATGCTAGATATGCCTACATAGAGTATGCTTTTTTTAAATATTAAGGGTTGCCTTGAACATCAAGATGGATAGTAAATAAATTTGATAATAATAATCTTAGTTACTTTTCACAATAATGATATTGTTCTTATAAAAATTAACAAATACCCCCTCCAAATACTGCCCAAGCAAAAGTGAAAGTTTCTATTTACTTCTTTTGGTCCCAGAAAACACTAGTACACATGAGCATTTTGAAATACTGGGTTAGTTGAATTACATCAATTCCACACAGGAGCAAAACAAGATAAAACTACTATAAAATGTAACTGATCAAAGTATAAATGATTCATGAAAGAAAAAGGTATGCAATTAGCTAGCTCCAAATTGTCCATAATTGCCACTTCAAACAAGAATTCAAAAACAAAATCTTTCCTTTTCTTTAGATACAATCGTCTAACCTGACACTTAAAATAAATATTGGACTGGAAGTATGAATATAAACTAGCCAGTACTACTGACTGTCTCTGGGAAATCTTTAGCACAAAATATCAAATACATTAATTGTGTGGAATATCAAGAAAATTGTTGGAAAGAAACAGAGATACTTTGAAGGAGGAGTCTTTGTTTTCTTTAGTTAAATAGTCAACTGTTTAAATGTTTAGTAATGTGGAAATGAAATTTAATCGCAGATATATTACTTCTATTTATTATCTTTAAATGTATGTGAAAACTAAAAAAATAATTCTACAAGGATTGGTCTACCAGAGAAAAAGTTCAAATAATATTTTCATACTTCTATGGTGCTTTGGGATGAATTATTTTTAGATATAAAGCTGGAACAAGTCCCACTGAGATCAATAGAATTTACTCTTGGGCAGTCTGTTCTATGGGAGAGCAGTAAAGTTCTTTAATATACTAATAAAAAAATAACAATACCTGATGTGCTCAGTTGCACTGGAGCAAGTTCTTTAGCAATTTCATTGGCAATTTGTGCAAACTCTTGTCCACAAGAAGTAAACAGTGCAATGCCCACCTTTAATTATGAGAATACAGGTAGTTCTGGTTCAGCAACCATTCAAAATTACAATGGTGCTGAATGAGGAGACTTACGACTTGTAGGTCCTTGTAGTTGCAATTGTCGCAGCATTCATGCGATCATGATTTCAATGCTTGGCAACTGGCTTGCAATTATGTTATCACAGCATTCCACAGTTACATGATCAATATTTGTGACCTTCAATGCAAGTTTCTGATAAACAAAGTCAATGGGGAAACCAGCAGGAGGTTTCAAATGGTGATCATGTGATGTTGTGCCTAACAGCCATGTGGGATTCATTAAAAATGGCAATTGGTATTACCACTGTAAATCATCATAGTCATGTGGCTATGTGCTTTATGACCACATAGCGATGGAATTTCCAACCCCAAGTACTGTTATTAACTAAGGGCCACTTGCAATAGAAGCTAAAAAAAGTTCAGCAACACTTAAATGCATTTACCTGTGGAAAGCTGAGTTGGGTATGGATTCATTTCTTTGTCAATCATCTTCTGGTACAAAGCTCTCAGACTGAATGGCTCAACAGTAAATGGCAGTGTCCCAGTCAACATTGCATACATATTTACACCACTGCAAAATAAGAGTGGTGGGCAGAAAAAAAAAGGGTAAGCAAAAAGTTCTACTGGAAATGAAACAAAAGATGCAAAAATATTAAGTTTAGTGGTAAGCAACTCTTAACTAATGGAACATAATAAAACATGTTAGGACATTCTTGATGTATTTAATCCACAACAATCTCTCCTGCCTCCTAAGATCCTATTAATTGAAAATCAATGCCTGACCCTGAAAACATACAGATGTAAAGTAGATGTTCTGTCCCCGATTTATGATCTCTTCCAACATGAATTATGACTTTCACCTGGATTGAAAAAAAAATATGAATCTGCTAGGTGGCTACAGTGCATTCAGAAAGTATTCAGATCTCCTTCACTTTTGTCAATTTTGTTGTGCTATAGCCTGATCCTATAGTTGTTGAAATTCATTTTTTCTCTCATTAATTTCATTACAGTGTAGCAGCCCATCTCCATAATGACAAAATGAAAACATTTTGAAAACAATGGGGTGTGTATGCGGAAACTTTGAAATTAGGTTGCAAGTAGCTCTGGGAGGTCTGTTGTACTTTTGAATGCTCATTAAACAACTGGTTGTTAAGCAAGGACCACCTGTGTTTGCGATGGAAGATTTTATATCCATAAGAGTAAATTACTTTTTTCTAATTTTCTTTAACAAATACTTTTTGTGCTTTTATAAAGGGTCCTTGAATATAGAGCTCTGGCTTTTTGATCAATTATATATTAGGTACTACAGATACATTAGGTAAATTTATATATGGGTAGAGAACTTTAATATTAGTGGAAGAGGGGAAATAGCAAGGCCCATAAGGGGCAAGAATGCAGTACCATACTAGGCATATGTCTAGGGGCCAAGATTCTTTTGTATTCTTTATTTTTGCTTTGGATTTGGAAGGAAGCTTTCTTCTTTGTTTTAAAATTATATTAGGGCTATTTTAGGGATTAGCCTACAGCATGTATTTGTTTTCCATATCAAAATGGTGGGAAACAGTGCTATCTCTTGGCAACTGTGCTGGAGGTCAAGGGCTACAGCAAGGGGACAGAGGAGTCCCTTGGAGCTTCAATTTATTCAATTCTGACTTAAGAGATGGAGTGCAGGAGCCTATGTTTAGATGACAGAACGAAACACCAAAATTATGTCAATGCTAGTGAATGAAATTAGTTATTCATCTTCAAAGTGGAATATTGTGTTAAAATGTTCCATTTTCAATAGAACTTTTTTATTTTTGCTAGTGTAAAGAAGATGTGCAGAGAGAATATGCTGCTTTTAAACTATATTAACTCACATGGACCAAACATCTATTTTGGGACCATATTTCTTCCTTGCAAGAAGCTCTGGTGCTGCATAAGCAGGACTGCCGCATTGGGTGCTAAATGGATCAGTGTAGCCCAGGATACTTGCACAATTGCTCAAGCCAAAGTCTGTTAGGAAAAAACAAAGAATAGATATTTAAACCCTGCATTAGAAAGACTGTAGTCTCTAAATAGTTATCATTTATTACCTTCATATGATTTTCTTTTTCTTTTTATAAATCTTGTTTTAGCTAAAGCAGAAACTTCCCTCAATTGTATAATGGATCCCAATCACCATCATTCCTAGCTAGCCTGGCTTTTGTAGTCCATCATATCTATACAGCACCTGGTTGGGTGTAGAGGTAGGTTACAGAGTTGTAATCTGAATGCTTTTCTTAAATTATCCAAAAAATGGAAATAATGTTCCAAAAGAGTAAACATAATATCCTGGGATATAATTCTGATTTTCTTGCCTCTATGAAACACCCAATTCCGTGTATACCTTATGGTTCCCTAAGGGCATTTTATTTTAATATCAGCAAGGTTTTTTACATACTGATCTACCTTGGAAAATGACAAAGAGTTAAGTATACCACTGGGTATGAATAGCTTAAGATTCTTAAATGGAACCTGATAGGAATTGTGTCCATACGCAGACAAAACACTCAGCTGCAAGATATAACAAACAGGGCTAAATATAAAAAAGGCACATTTAATCACAAGCAAGCAGCACTAATAGAACCCTAGATAGGCAGTGCTTTTCTTCTATTTTGAATTGTGATTTACTTAAATATACTCAAGTAACCTACACCTTTCCATTAAAAGGTATTATTGCCAAATACCAATATTAATATTTCCTTTGAAAATAACTCTCATCCTCATTTTAAGATTGATCCTTTGTTAATAAAAGGTACTAATAGACTTTACTCTTGGATACATAACAATCAGCTGCATTTGAGGCTGTCAGAATTGTATAAAAGCAAGGAAATTTCTATGGTACATTCTTATGTTCTATGGCATGCTGGCTAGGGAATTCTGGGACTTGAAGTCCACACATCTGAAAGTTGCCAAGGCTGAGAAACACTGTTCTACAACATTTGCTTACACAGTCTACAGTAAGGAAATATTTAGGCAACTAAAGCAAACGCAAAATATTTATATTCTATTTTTGTTTTATACTGTATATATTGTTTGGCAGTGACTGCATTCAGAAGCCAGCTTTATATGTTCTGGAGTAACCAAATAGCCCATTATAAGAACAAAAACTACCAGATGTTAATACAATTTTAAAATATTTCTGTCGTCACCTAGGCTTTAAACTAAGTTGTTGACTGGCTGATGGTAATATGTATTTTTCAATACACTGGTGAATGCTATTTCTTACATACAAATGTTATATAGGTCTTTTCCAAATTGGTGCCTTTTCCCAAAGCTATTTTGCCAAGCTGTCACCTCATTAGTGCCCTTAAGCTGTGTGAGACAAAGCTCTGTTTCACAGATTTTCTGGCCCACTTAAGAGGTAGTAATGCCTGTTTTTAACTCACTTTATTCACATTCACTGTTGCAACAAAATGAGTTGACTCGGCAGAATTAAATCCCTAAGCAGATGCTTTTATAAAGGAGATATTTTCCTTTTAATGCCCTCAACTAACATTAATGGGAGTTTTACACAGATAGTAATAAAAGATGACTCATTTATGATTTCTGTAGAATGTGTATGATCAATGCAAACACTGCATTTTTAGAGACAGAGGTACAATGAAGAAATCTTTGAGTTTTCTCAAGGTACTTGTTATTTTAATTTTGCAGACAAATGTATTGATTGAACACTAAAGTTTGCTTCACACTATGTGAACAAAGATCCCACTTGATTGCAACATCAAAAAGATCTTAAGCTTTAAGTCACTTAAAATAGGAAACCAAATGTCAAAGGAAGATGTTTATTCTACTTCTCCAAATATTCAGCATGCTTTAGACGAAAGGCTTCACAAAATATATATTTTAAAATTTACTATATTTTCTGAGTGTTTGTAAGGAAACACCTGAATTACATACATAATCCAATAGTAAAAGTTCAATATTTTAAATGTTAATTTATGACAAAAATACTGATTAGTGACTGAAGACTACAATTACTACAAGACTTTCATACCAATAAGTTTGATATTGTTGTCTTCATCTAGCAAAAGATTTTCTATCTTCAGATCTCTGCAATATACAAAAATATTACATAAAATTTCAAACAACTGAGCTTTCAATATTTTCAAATTTAAGTATAATTTTTATTGTCATTGTACTTAAATACAATGAAATTGAAATTTCATTAACAATCGTTATTACCTTTTTGTACAAATTGGTATAATTCTTGTTTTTTATATAAATATGAAGTAAAATACATTTGTTTATATTTTCATAAAAATGAATACATAGATCTGTTATTTTGAAGTTGATGCAGGCATTATGCTAATGCTATAAAATCAAATTAAGTATAAGTTTGTTAAAAAAGAATGCAGTAAATGTAATCATCCCTGTAAAAATTTATAAAACAAGCTAGTTCAGCTTTAACATACATCTCAAAAATATCAATTATGAATCAAATATTCTGTTATTCTATTAAGAGTGATCAATGTGAGATCCATGGTTCCATGCAATTCCGCAATCATTTTTTATATATCTTCTAAGGCTCCTCAGCTCCAGCCCCATGTTAGAGGCATATTCCATTCATTTGCATTGCTACTTCTTCATTGTTTTCTCCACCAAAATGCTAGAAAATATGGCCAATACTTTACTTAAATACATGAACTGCCATAATGTAAATGAAAAAGTATGAATAAAAAGGTTCAGAAGAAAAGCTAATTTTTGATTTTTTTAAAAAGTCAGTTTTCAAGACTTCTGACAATGAATCCAGTTCTAGCAGCTGTATTGCTCTAAAATAAAATGAGAAGTGTGATACTTCGATAAGAAATGCATATCATGAAACAAATCTAAGATGCTTCAAACACCTATACTAAAAGCTGCCATCTTAACTGGTTTTATTACTGTTTAACTGTTTCTAGGGACTTTATGTTTAGAACACGATCTATGTATTCAATATGCTTCATTACAAATTTTACATTTAACACAACTGTCATTGGATGGGATAATTACTTGGATTAGAATAAACAGGAAATGAAAATGTCCTTTTTCTTAGAACAAAATATCAGATAGCTTTTAGGTAAATTGAAAAATGCCTTTTGAAGCTGTTTGAATAGAGAGAAAAGCACCAGTGCCAGCAGGATTTTTTTTTCTCCTAAGACAAATAGCAAATACCAAGGAGCAATTATCTCAGGATGGCAAGATAGGAAAGAGATCATTCTCCTTGTTTGTCATAACGAAATAAAATAAAGGAAGTGCCTCTTACTCTAAATATATTCCTAATATGATAATATGTTTTAATAACTACCTTTCAATAGTTAAAAGTACTTTATTACAGTAAAAGTACTTAGCAGAGTAAACTGGATGGAACAATTCCAGTAACTCAAGAGTTCCCAATAAAAATTTACAACAAATCATGACACATATTTATTACTGAAAATGATAAAGCCAAGGAAATGCTACTGAAGGAAAATCTTATTAAATACACACTAGGAACCACATGCTGCAATCCACATTAATAGCAACTATTGTCTTTAATCACAATGGAAACAGTGCAATATCACACCCAAAATATATACACCAAAGCATTAATTAGATTTATATATCTAATATCATNATATGGGTAGAGAACTTTAATATTAGTGGAAGAGGGGAAATAGCAAGGCCCATAAGGGGCAAGAATGCAGTACCATACTAGGCATATGTCTAGGGGCCAAGATTCTTTTGTATTCTTTATTTTTGCTTTGGATTTGGAAGGAAGCTTTCTTCTTTGTTTTAAAATTATATTAGGGCTATTTTAGGGATTAGCCTACAGCATGTATTTGTTTTCCATATCAAAATGGTGGGAAACAGTGCTATCTCTTGGCAACTGTGCTGGAGGTCAAGGGCTACAGCAAGGGGACAGAGGAGTCCCTTGGAGCTTCAATTTATTCAATTCTGACTTAAGAGATGGAGTGCAGGAGCCTATGTTTAGATGACAGAACGAAACACCAAAATTATGTCAATGCTAGTGAATGAAATTAGTTATTCATCTTCAAAGTGGAATATTGTGTTAAAATGTTCCATTTTCAATAGAACTTTTTTTATTTTTGCTAGTGTAAAGAAGATGTGCAGAGAGAATATGCTGCTTTTAAACTATATTAACTCACATGGACCAAACATCTATTTTGGGACCATATTTCTTCCTTGCAAGAAGCTCTGGTGCTGCATAAGCAGGACTGCCGCATTGGGTGCTAAATGGATCAGTGTAGCCCAGGATACTTGCACAATTGCTCAAGCCAAAGTCTGTTAGGAAAAAACAAAGAATAGATATTTAAACCCTGCATTAGAAAGACTGTAGTCTCTAAATAGTTATCATTTATTACCTTCATATGATTTTCTTTTTCTTTTTATAAATCTTGTTTTAGCTAAAGCAGAAACTTCCCTCAATTGTATAATGGATCCCAATCACCATCATTCCTAGCTAGCCTGGCTTTTGTAGTCCATCATATCTATACAGCACCTGGTTGGGTGTAGAGGTAGGTTACAGAGTTGTAATCTGAATGCTTTTCTTAAATTATCCAAAAAATGGAAATAATGTTCCAAAAGAGTAAACATAATATCCTGGGATATAATTCTGATTTTCTTGCCTCTATGAAACACCCAATTCCGTGTATACCTTATGGTTCCCTAAGGGCATTTTATTTTAATATCAGCAAGGTTTTTTACATACTGATCTACCTTGGAAAATGACAAAGAGTTAAGTATACCACTGGGTATGAATAGCTTAAGATTCTTAAATGGAACCTGATAGGAATTGTGTCCATACGCAGACAAAACACTCAGCTGCAAGATATAACAAACAGGGCTAAATATAAAAAAGGCACATTTAATCACAAGCAAGCAGCACTAATAGAACCCTAGATAGGCAGTGCTTTTCTTCTATTTTGAATTGTGATTTACTTAAATATACTCAAGTAACCTACACCTTTCCATTAAAAGGTATTATTGCCAAATACCAATATTAATATTTCCTTTGAAAATAACTCTCATCCTCATTTTAAGATTGATCCTTTGTTAATAAAAGGTACTAATAGACTTTACTCTTGGATACATAACAATCAGCTGCATTTGAGGCTGTCAGAATTGTATAAAAGCAAGGAAATTTCTATGGTACATTCTTATGTTCTATGGCATGCTGGCTAGGGAATTCTGGGACTTGAAGTCCACACATCTGAAAGTTGCCAAGGCTGAGAAACACTGTTCTACAACATTTGCTTACACAGTCTACAGTAAGGAAATATTTAGGCAACTAAAGCAAACGCAAAATATTTATATTCTATTTTTGTTTTATACTGTATATATTGTTTGGCAGTGACTGCATTCAGAAGCCAGCTTTATATGTTCTGGAGTAACCAAATAGCCCATTATAAGAACAAAAACTACCAGATGTTAATACAATTTTAAAATATTTCTGTCGTCACCTAGGCTTTAAACTAAGTTGTTGACTGGCTGATGGTAATATGTATTTTTCAATACACTGGTGAATGCTATTTCTTACATACAAATGTTATATAGGTCTTTTCCAAATTGGTGCCTTTTCCCAAAGCTATTTTGCCAAGCTGTCACCTCATTAGTGCCCTTAAGCTGTGTGAGACAAAGCTCTGTTTCACAGATTTTCTGGCCCACTTAAGAGGTAGTAATGCCTGTTTTTAACTCACTTTATTCACATTCACTGTTGCAACAAAATGAGTTGACTCGGCAGAATTAAATCCCTAAGCAGATGCTTTTATAAAGGAGATATTTTCCTTTTAATGCCCTCAACTAACATTAATGGGAGTTTTACACAGATAGTAATAAAAGATGACTCATTTATGATTTCTGTAGAATGTGTATGATCAATGCAAACACTGCATTTTTAGAGACAGAGGTACAATGAAGAAATCTTTGAGTTTTCTCAAGGTACTTGTTATTTTAATTTTGCAGACAAATGTATTGATTGAACACTAAAGTTTGCTTCACACTATGTGAACAAAGATCCCACTTGATTGCAACATCAAAAAGATCTTAAGCTTTAAGTCACTTAAAATAGGAAACCAAATGTCAAAGGAAGATGTTTATTCTACTTCTCCAAATATTCAGCATGCTTTAGACGAAAGGCTTCACAAAATATATATTTTAAAATTTACTATATTTTCTGAGTGTTTGTAAGGAAACACCTGAATTACATACATAATCCAATAGTAAAAGTTCAATATTTTAAATGTTAATTTATGACAAAAATACTGATTAGTGACTGAAGACTACAATTACTACAAGACTTTCATACCAATAAGTTTGATATTGTTGTCTTCATCTAGCAAAAGATTTTCTATCTTCAGATCTCTGCAATATACAAAAATATTACATAAAATTTCAAACAACTGAGCTTTCAATATTTTCAAATTTAAGTATAATTTTTATTGTCATTGTACTTAAATACAATGAAATTGAAATTTCATTAACAATCGTTATTACCTTTTTGTACAAATTGGTATAATTCTTGTTTTTTATATAAATATGAAGTAAAATACATTTGTTTATATTTTCATAAAAATGAATACATAGATCTGTTATTTTGAAGTTGATGCAGGCATTATGCTAATGCTATAAAATCAAATTAAGTATAAGTTTGTTAAAAAAGAATGCAGTAAATGTAATCATCCCTGTAAAAATTTATAAAACAAGCTAGTTCAGCTTTAACATACATCTCAAAAATATCAATTATGAATCAAATATTCTGTTATTCTATTAAGAGTGATCAATGTGAGATCCATGGTTCCATGCAATTCCGCAATCATTTTTTATATATCTTCTAAGGCTCCTCAGCTCCAGCCCCATGTTAGAGGCATATTCCATTCATTTGCATTGCTACTTCTTCATTGTTTTCTCCACCAAAATGCTAGAAAATATGGCCAATACTTTACTTAAATACATGAACTGCCATAATGTAAATGAAAAAGTATGAATAAAAAGGTTCAGAAGAAAAGCTAATTTTTGATTTTTTTAAAAAGTCAGTTTTCAAGACTTCTGACAATGAATCCAGTTCTAGCAGCTGTATTGCTCTAAAATAAAATGAGAAGTGTGATACTTCGATAAGAAATGCATATCATGAAACAAATCTAAGATGCTTCAAACACCTATACTAAAAGCTGCCATCTTAACTGGTTTTATTACTGTTTAACTGTTTCTAGGGACTTTATGTTTAGAACACGATCTATGTATTCAATATGCTTCATTACAAATTTTACATTTAACACAACTGTCATTGGATGGGATAATTACTTGGATTAGAATAAACAGGAAATGAAAATGTCCTTTTTCTTAGAACAAAATATCAGATAGCTTTTAGGTAAATTGAAAAATGCCTTTTGAAGCTGTTTGAATAGAGAGAAAAGCACCAGTGCCAGCAGGATTTTTTTTTCTCCTAAGACAAATAGCAAATACCAAGGAGCAATTATCTCAGGATGGCAAGATAGGAAAGAGATCATTCTCCTTGTTTGTCATAACGAAATAAAATAAAGGAAGTGCCTCTTACTCTAAATATATTCCTAATATGATAATATGTTTTAATAACTACCTTTCAATAGTTAAAAGTACTTTATTACAGTAAAAGTACTTAGCAGAGTAAACTGGATGGAACAATTCCAGTAACTCAAGAGTTCCCAATAAAAATTTACAACAAATCATGACACATATTTATTACTGAAAATGATAAAGCCAAGGAAATGCTACTGAAGGAAAATCTTATTAAATACACACTAGGAACCACATGCTGCAATCCACATTAATAGCAACTATTGTCTTTAATCACAATGGAAACAGTGCAATATCACACCCAAAATATATACACCAAAGCATTAATTAGATTTATATATCTAATATCATGTATACCTCAAGAAATAAATTGAGCTGCATAACATGATAGTATGGTAAAACCTGAATGAAAAAAACTAATCAGGTATAAGACAAATATACCGTATTTTCACGACCAAAAGCCGCACCGGATTAAAAGCCGCAGTATCAATTAACG